GGAAACAATCGCAACATTTAAAGTACTTTTGCAACTTTTCTCTACTCTGCTCTACTCCACTTTACTCCAACCTACTCTACTTTATTGCTTTGCTTATAATGAAACTTTGAATGTGCACATATTTTGCGTGTCTGTAATTATCATATGACAATGGGAAACGTGGAAAAATGTGTGCCCTTGTCACAATTTTGCTAATCTCTTTTGATGGAATGAAATCAGTTCGATGACTATATTCACATTTTTACAGGACAGATTTCCCGTCCTAACCACGATCTGCCTGCAGGTATCAAGAAAAGAGTTGTCAAGCGTCGTCTTGTGTCGAAACGACCAGCGGTAGATCTTGAATCCGAGTTGGCGCCAGCCTGAGTCGCACGTGGTATGGCGGAAGCAGTAAGAGCAGAATGGGTATTATCCTCACAACCAAATTCCAGCTAACAAGTCGAGAAAACTCACCGTCTCGCCCCTAAAAAGTTATATCTGACCTGAGTGATTTTGCTAGTTCTAGTCGTGCGTCAACCTCGAAGAATGTGAGTGTGTCTGTCTCTGTATGTAAGTAACCAAAGCAATTAGACCATAAAAATTACACGAAGATATGAATACCATGAGGGCGCAGCCCCCTTGTCGCAACTTGGTCTTGTTGTCAGGGCGACTTGGTAGAAGACACCCAGTCCCAATTTCCAGCATCCGCCGTTGTCAGACGTTTCGTCGGCGTCGAACTGGTCAAAGAGGCAAGAGAAGTCAATCCCTCGAGCAAGGTTCTACCGAAAACTGTTAAGCCACAACTCCTCTACTTATCTACTCCCTACCCTCTTGGCTCACTATCGCCACTACCACAACTTCTCATTTGTGAGGAAAGAGGGTAATGAGTGGATAGATGGGCCAGGACAGAAGGAGGAGGGATGGTGGAACCGTTTAGGTCGAGGGATGTACCAAGTCCACTGTAGGACTTGGAGCAGACGACTTCGGACAAAGCGCCTGACAACAGGCCAAACGACTTATGAAGAGTCTGTATAGTTGGGACGATGGTGATGATGATGACAATGATAATTTTGATGACGAGATGATGATGGTGTGGTGATTGTCAATTTGATCATGAAGATGATTTCGATAATGATTTTGATAACACGATGATGCTGTTGGTGTTGATAATGATGATGATGATGATGATGCAAAATGGCTATGCTTTCGACATGTTGAAAGACAAGAAGTACAAAATGTGAAAGTGGATCCGGGCTTTTTAGACACCCGCCTTGCCTACCCGAGCGATATGCTCCTCCCCGCCGGTCGGATACAGTTTGGTTGACATGAGACCGGGCCGACCGGCCAGGCCGGCCGGCGGTAGCATCATCGGAGGCAGAGGTTGTTGTTGTTGTTGTTGTTGTTGATGGTGGGGCAGCGGCGGCGACGCCGACGATGCCGATAGCGTCAACGACAACGACGACGAAGACGACGCAGGAACGACGGAGTGCGTCGTCAGTCCGAGGAGGTCGGCTGTGGCGACGGCGTCGGCCTGAGCCAAGCCAAGGCAGCCGGGCAGGCCGGCGAGTGGGTAGGGGGGCGTGTTGGCGAGGGTTGCCAGGCTGGAGGAGACGATGGGCGAGAAGCCCGTGGCCGGAGGGAGTCCGGAGAGCTGGTTGCCGGGCGGGCCAGAGGGACTGCAACGAGGCCCGCAGACGAGGTTGCTGACGCCGTTGCCGGCGAGGCTTGGGGTCAACTGGAGCGGGGGTGGGAGGGGAAAAGGAAGTGGCATCGGCATCGGCATCGTCATCGGCATCGTCATCGGCATCGGCATTGGCAGCGGCAGCGGCAACGGCAGCTGGAGCGGAAAGGAGGCGGAAAGGGAGCGAGGCGCGGAATAGGAGAAAAAGTTTGGCGTCACAGTCGTCTTGGCGACGGTCGAGCCGCAGTCGAAGCCCTGCAGCTCGACAACCGGTTCCGGACTGGCGCCGGGCTGCCGGGCGGAGAGAGAGAAAGGGGACGGCGACGTCGAAGTCGACGGCAATGACAACGCCGACGCCGACGCCGAGATCGACGTTGACGTAGACGTTGATGTTGACGTCAACGCGGGGGCTGCGTGAAAGAGGCCGTCGAGACCGAGAGGCAGGCAGCCGGGAAAGGAGAATGGCAGCGGAAGGCCGCAGACGGACGGTCTCTTCTGCTCCTCGTCGACGCAGAGACCGTCCGAGGGGAGCAGCGGACATTGGCCGCCGCCCGATGAGGCCGTCGTCAAGGCGGGTACGTGGAAAGATGGCCCCAGGCAGGCCAGGCTTTGCGCTCCGCGGACCAGTGCCTCGAAGTACGCCTCGTTGGAGCCCGTCGCGACAGCTGAAGTGAAAGAGGAGACACAACTTGTTGCTTAGACAGACGAACACACATCAAACGCGATTGGACTCGCTAATTCAGCCAAAAACTTGGTTGCAAGGAATTTATGACTTGGTATCAAGCAAAAACTATCAACGACGTCCTTAAAACCAAGATAGGCTCGAAAAAAGTAAAAATTAATCAGGCAAGAATATAAAAAAAAATTTCTAAAACCATTTGTTACTTTTTTGTGGGTCGCAAATAAAACCATGAAAGAGAGGGAGAGTGATGGCCTCATAATTTCATAAAATATTCCCGACTATTCTGGATAAAATGAGATGAGATGTTTGTGTGGGGTTATTATTTTACTTCTTTTTTTGTTGTTTTTATCAATTCCAGTTTTAGCTGGGGCTATAACAATGCTATTGTTTGATCGTAATTTTGGAACATCGTATTTTGATCCACTAGGTGATGGTAATTCTATAATGTTTCAACACATTTTTTGGTTTTTTGGACACCCAGAGGTTTATGTTCTGATATTACCTGGTTTTTCGATAATTGATCACATATGCATGGAACTAAGTAAAATGGGAATCATCAGTGGGTTATTTGGATATGGTGCTAGCAATGTCTTCAATTGTCATGTTACGGTTTATTGTTTGGGCTCACCACATGTTTGCAGTTGGTATGAATGTAAAGAGAATATCGTTTTTTAGTGCTGTGACAGAAGAGAAGAGAAGAGAAGAGAAGAGAAGAGAAGAGAAGAGAAGAGAAGAGAAGAGAAGAGAAGAGAAG